ATTACTGCACAATGCTGGCAAATGGAGGGCACCAGAGCAAGCACATTGAACAGCATACACACAGGTACATAAAAAGTAACAAATAAGAAAAAGGCAACTTGGACAGAAATGCAGAAATAAAAAAAGAGAGAAACTGCAAACATCTTACTCTGCGACAACATTTGATTTCGTTGTGTTATTTGGTCTACTTCAAAGCCCAGGATGAGGCCTAATCGGAACAGTAAAAGTAACAATTAAAACAGTTCTGATGGAGTACTGCATTGGTTCACATGCAATCCAAAGACTACATACATACACTGATATGGTTATGGATTACCACTATCAGCTATGCCACCATCTATCATTGTCCACTTTGTGTCAAGAACAGTGAGTAGCTGTACATGAAGAGAAACAATCTAGAGTTTTATTAACAATGAATTGCAGGACTCCAATTTCTGTCAGATCACTCATGTATTCAAATAAACACCGTGAAATGTTGACTATCTACATGTCTTATATGCCTTTTTCAGGATGCTGCCGTTTTCCTTTGGATATACTGAAATGGTGATCACTGAGAGGAGAGGAGAGGTTGTGTGGTGACTATACACTCTTGACTTAATCAAAGCATTCTTAGCCAGACATGTCAAAATTTTTGAGGTAGCAAGTTGGCATCAGTGCTTTGCAGATCAGCAAGATGGATTTTGTAAAGAAAGAAAAAAATTGGACAGCTCTTTGGAGGCTGATCTTGGGTATAATCACACAAAGGGTTAAATTATTGTACAAACATATTGAATTTTGCTTTTTACTGTGGCCAGGATCAATCTGCTTCTCCAAATTTGTCACCAAGGTGAAATGAAGACCTATGAGTGCAAAAACAGCTGAATTTTGAAAATGTGTCATGATGTTCTATAACATTTCCAACATCTGTTACAATGCTTTTTAATCAGAGATATGGGCCCTAAAAGTGCTTATGAGGTCTGTGAAGAAACAAATGCAAGAAGTAACATCAGATTAAGAAGTTCAGTTTTATCTGTATGTCTCGCTCTCCTCTGGTGGATTAATTCTTCACTTTCATTTCACTTTCTCACCATGAAACACAAGACATAAAGCACCAAGAAATAAATCAAACATCCCTCTTCCCCGATCTTCTTCTCTCCTTTAGCCATCATTTGCAGCCACCAGCTGTCCCAGTCCCTGGCGCACATAAACAGCTTGAATCTCCTTTGTCTTGAGGCAGAAGTCGCAAGCCCACACCGCGGCACTCTCCCTGGTTAGCAGCCCATACGCTGGCTCAGTTAGGCCTGTGCAGTCTCTATGGAACCATCGTTGGCAGGAAGCCTCACACAAGATGGCCTCTTGGTCATCGTGCACTTCTGACAGACAGAGGCCACAAGGGAACACCATGCCTCCACCTAGCTTTGGGGGACCGGAGCCAGGGCCAGCAGAGGGTGGAGCGGGCCCACTGGGAAGCGGGGATTGGGTGTTGGGCGTGGAGTTGGAGTTGGATGGAGGATTGGGGTTGCTACCTGGGGTGTTGCCACCACTGCTGTTGTTAAGGTTGTTCTGGGTGGAGTTGGGTGGCTGGTTTGGCATTGGACCTCCAGGAGTATTGTTCTGCTGGTTGTAGGGCACTGAACCTGGAGCGGAGTTTGGTGGCGTTGGTTGCTGCTGATTGGATGGGGTGTTGGGGCCAGGGCCACCAGTGGAGTTGGGTGGAGGATGCTGATTGGTTGGTGCCTGTTGAGGCTGGGGACCGTTATGGGGGCCAGTGGGGGACGAGTTGGGATTGGGGGGTTGAGGAGCCGACTGGGGTTGTCCTGGAGTGTTGGGGTTGGGTTGTTGGACATCTGGATGACCTGGGAAACCTCCTCCGGGCTGTGGGGGTCCAGGGGCTGGGGACGGACCAGGAGTGGCATTGTTGGATGGAGGACCGGAGGGGTTAAGGTTAGGTGGTTGCTGTTGAGAGGGAACAGGTGGACCACCACCTGGACCACCAAAGTTCTTTCCCTCTTCACCAACAGGAGGACTTGATCCAGGGTACGGGCCATCTTGTGGAGGAGGGAACTGTCCTTGTGGAGGCATACCTGGATGTCCACCCACCATATTACCCCCACCACCCATGCCCATCATGTTCATTCCTCCTCCCATACCCCCCATAGCGTTCATGGGGCCGTGCGGAGGCCCACGAGGGCCAGGGCCGCCAGGTAAGGGCGGGCTGTTGAAGGGATGGCCACCTTGTCCATGTGGAGGCTGTTGCTGAGGCATCCCAAACCTTGGATGAGGTGGACCTCCTCCACCTCCTGGACCGCCACCCATTCCTCCAGGTGACAACATTGGATTGAAGCCCTGCCCAGGGTGCATGGGTGGGCTGAAATTGGGTGGCATGTTAAACTGGGATGGGCCTCCTGGTGGAAATCCTCCACCACCACCTCCAAAGCCTGGCATGCCCCCAAATCCAAGTGGGTGGTGTGGTCCAGTATTTGGCGTTGGCGGACCGAAAGGGGGTCGTCGGCCAGGCTGTCCGCCTCCAGGTCCACCTGGGCCACCCATGAATCCCATACCTCCTCCCATTCGACCGGGTCCACCATAGCCACCTCCACCGCCCCCTGGACTGGGCAGAAAAGAGGCACCACCTGGACCACCCCCTCCACCAGATCGCAATGGCGGACCAAAGTCATCATCAAAAGGGTTAGAGGCCACCAGGTGATCAACCATCGGAGTAGGAGGGGGTGCAAACTCAGAGAGGTGGGAGAATGCTGCCCCCTAGCAGGAAATACAAAGGGTGAGAAATAAGTTGGTAATGCTGAATTGCTTAGTTTCTAATGTTAATGCACTGAATTTGTCATTAAATGCAATTATTTTTTAACATTTAGCTTAAAGAGGGTACCAACTTCACTAGAATACGAATACCTTTGCAAATATTACAACAAAGTCCGGCTAAATATAAAATAAAGCATTAAGTCCAAAGATTCAAAAACTAACCTGAGTGTTGGACTTCCTCTTCTTTTTCTCTGGGCTCTTCATCTGGGAACCTATGGAAGCAGAAATGGAAAGGGGGGAAATGAACAAGAATAGGGTGGGAGAAATTAGCAGTTAGACCAAAAGCACATTCATATAAAACGTTTTTTGATGCAAAAATGTGCACAAGATCATTTTTCACTGTAATTTGCCAGGTGGTATTAGGTGGAATTGCTCATTTACATGCCCCATGTGTCACACTGCTAGCATCAACTGTGAACCTGACTGGCATTTGAAGAGATAAAGCAGAGCACTGGTAACAAATAGATTTGGTAACTGACTTATTTTGTTAAACATATTTGTTGATACGACAACCACACATCTCAGTACCTCCAATAAATACATACATTTCTTGAGAACCAAATAAATCAAACCATAAAAATAAAACAAAACCCCATAAAACCTAGATTATCAAAGTGTATCCCATGTTATTAAACATTTTGACAAGAAACTGAAGACTAGAGATAGACAGATAATCAGTTTGACCAATATTTTTATGGATATACAGCAATATTTTGTCTCTAAAGACTAGCACCTAACTACAGTATTCAGTGTCACTGTGATAGTCACATTTTTAATAATAATAACAACAATTATTATTATTATTATACAATACATTCTTTTTTTATATATAGATTTACAGCTACACAGCCAAAAATAAATATAAATCTGGACAATGTTGACAAAAAATGGCATAACTGTTATAATAATAATATTTTTTGTTTAAATTCCTATAAAATATTATATTAAATATATCTAATTTAATTGTAGTCTAAATTTTGTTTTAAAAAAAACAACAACAATAAGAGAGTATTTAAAAAAAATGCATATCATTTATCAGACACTTAGTTAAAGATAATCTGTCATATCGGTCTATCTCTGAAGACAAATTTTACAGCTGATGAACTTGTATGCAACCCTTTAGAGATCCCAAGTAAGAGGCTTGCTTTTAGGGCAAATAACACGTTGGAAAAGAGTTGAATGCAATGAGTGTAAAAAAATAAATAAAACAAACTACAAACGAACACGCGTGGATAGACAAGTGATGCGAGGTTGACAAAGCTACCCAAAGACAGATCCCCACGAAAACAAGGCCACCGTACATTCAGGCATGTGCGGACAGGGGAAAGGGAGATTTGCAGCCAGAGCTGTGTGGATTCCCGCTCGGACACAGAGATGCGCTGATTGACAGTTTCCTACCTTTGCCTCGTTTTCCTTGAGTCTGTCCCGCCTGCTGTCCCGCCATTAAAATGACTGTCGGTGCGGTGCCATGACACCGTTCATTTACAGAAATTAGTTTATTTGACTTAAACCTCCTCGGGTCCAACGAGTATCACCCCGAAGCCCCAGGAATTGCGCGTGAAATGCTTAATTTTTAACTGTACCGATGGGCCAAAGAGATCAGGCACCTACTCGGCAACATGTCTGAAGGATGCATTAATGGTTTGAGTCAGATTTATCATCTTCTGCACGTTTACACGCATGCACCCCCCAAATAATAACGCGATCTGGATGAGCATCGCAGATACGTCTGAAGATGTTGAGTTATTAACCAAAAGATCTTTGCAAGCACGCAAACCAGCCGTGATTGGGATGGACTGAATGTGAATACACATCTGCCTGCCTGCAATGTGATCACATACAGATGTGTTTCTACCTGGACGGCCGTCTAAATATCATTCAGATGCAAGCACACCGAGCTCTTCCCCATTTTAAACTGCGTTCGATTCGAAAATACAGTGCGACTGTAAATGACGCGTTAGGCGTTTGAATTTAATTTAAACGTGATTTGAATTCGCGAGCTAGCTACCGCTAGCCGTTTAGCCATCAGCAAGCAAGGTAAGACGGTAAACGCTGCTCATACAGCTCATTCATATACACCCGACTGTTGCATCAAGTCATGGATGTCAACCCGCATATGACAAACAATCAATGTCAAATAGACTTACGATTTAATATTTATCCCCAAACGCGAAATTGGCCATGTTAATTACGGCCTGCTCGTTGCCGGACAAAGAGGGACAGCCGGAGTCGACTCGCGCAGGGCATGTGTGGAAAATAGGGGTGGTCGGGCTAAAACAAATAAGCGATTTTTACAAAATGTTTATGTTTATGGCGATATTATAGAATTGTTTTCTATTTAAAAATATATTAGTGACATTTAGGTGATGTAAAACTGATAAATGTGTGACGCTATTTCTGTAACTGCTCAATATTTTTATCGTCGCCCCCCTTGTATCAAACATGTGGACTGATCGAGATCAGACCACTTTTGCGAATAATGCAGGGAGAAATTGTGTTGTGCATTTTGCACTCAGTTCACTGCGATGGGCATTGTTGTAAATAGGTACGATTAGAATTTATTTATGGTCTTGTTGCATAATGTTTTGGAGGGAATGTACTCTGACCGTTTCCTAAAAATAAAATGTTTACCCCCGATTTGGTTATAGGCGCGTCTGAATGCTTGTATGTTCAGCTGCATGAGTGGATTTGTAGTTTTAAGACTGCAGTTTCATGAAATCAGCTTGATTTGACGTGATTTTGCTTTCATTTCCATTCCTTTCTCATTTTTCCTAAATAACTTATCTTGTTCTAAATGTAAAATGCCTTTAAAATAAAATAAAGTATACTTTCTATGACAAAAGCAGTTTTGTAGGCATAATTTATCAACTGTAGCTATGTGAGTACTGATCTCCAAAATAGAATAGTAAAATAATTACAATTAAATATATATAGAATCATTTATGGAAGCATGTTTTTGGATATTCAGACGTGAAGAAACAACTGTCACGAGTCAGAACAGTGCACTAATGTTGGTTTTTCCTTTGTACTTCTACTGATCCAGGATCAGTCCCCTAAACACAAATCATAAATCACACATTTTCAACTCAAAGGCAAAACTGCGTTTAGAACAAGACAGTTAGCTTCACATAACTTTCACTGCTTTGTATCTTGGGAGACGGCTCAAATGTATTATACCACTGACTTTGCTGCCCTCTTGTTGTCGAGTTAACACGTTACACACCAGCTCCACTCCTGAACTTGGTTTCTTCACCTAGTTAGTAAAAAAGACATGAGAGAAATATAACTGTGCCCATCTGACTACAAGTTAGTGTCTGGTGGCCTCTATTGGTCATACAAAGAACCAACCCTGCAAATAATATTGGCCCCAATGTGTTATTTGTACCAATCAGTTGTAAAAGTAACAGGACAATCATGGCAGCACTTAAGTTCACAGCTATTAGTGTCACTTAATTTACTGTGATTGTCTGAAACCATTTCTGCTTTGAATGACTTGAGGATACTTTCACACTGCCCTTAACCCAAAGGTTATTCTTCCTCGTTCTTTAGAAAAACTTTGATGTGGAATCATCTTCATTCATTCATCAATGATCTTCATCATTTTCCACTTTATCTTCATCAAATCCACCAATTTCTGCCATCATTTTGCAGTCAGTTACCAGTGTTATTTAATATCATTGAGATTTTTAACAATATTTAGAAGTTGTTTTTAATTTAAAAGTTTTATATCTATTCAACTTATTTTTCAATGCAGAAGTAAGCCATTTTCTGTGAATGTGCGAGACAGTTCTCAAGAGAGAACTTATAGTTCTCAAGAAATAACGAGAACTATACGACTAAACAGTAGTGCAGTAAATGGTAAAACTCTTTGCGCTACAAATCAGTGTGTTCATAATTAAGATAATATATTCAAATAATATGGAAAGACACACCAGTTTGCTGTTTTGTACAGCCAGTAATAGCTGGAAATGGGTGACACCGGAAGCCGGACACATTACATTTACAAATGGCTACGCCAGCTCTTACGGGAAAAATAAGGTGGATAGTGTTTATTAATTTTTATTTAGGTTTAGTTATTTTAGTAGGCCTAAATTAAGTTGAGAAACACGAGAAATGTTGCCTTGGCATCTAGATGAAATAAAATATATTTTTAAAATTTATATTACAGTTAAAATATTGTTTATTTATTTATTTATTTATTTTAGATGATTTTATTGCAGTTAACATTCATTTTATTTCAAGCAACGGGAATGTTTTTTTTATTAATTCTGATTTAGGTTTAGTTAATAACCCTGTCAGTTACTCAGAGCGCCGCCATAAATCACACAATGCAACATGAAGACCGTCCAGTTCCAAAGGTGCACGGTCACACTGTCATTCATTCACCTTGCCCTGATCCACCCTCGGTCATCATTAGTTATGAATTATTTCATTGACATGTCTTTCCCGAGCACTCCTCATGAATGATTTCTGCATTCTCAGGCCCTCTTCAAGACCCATTAGCGTTAATTTTAGCCTCAGGATTGAGTTACCGTCTGCATTGTCTTAAATCGAGATGAATTGTTAATCCAGGGCTGCTGTCATAGGCAGGTTAAGATCGCAGTGAAGGTTAGGTGAAGGGGTGACAGAGGCGACGGGGTTAATGACTGTTTGCAGATCAGATGTACACGAGTCTGCGGCCCCTCTGGGGTTTAGGGTAGAATAGCAGCAGTAGCCTACGTGATTCATGCTGCTAAAAATGGGCAAAGTGTTGCCTCGGTATCGTTTCACCTGTATTAAAGACACTTAACGTGTCGTGCAGGAGAAAAGGCTTGAATTGACACCAGCCCTCCCCCTTTCCTTTCAGTAGGTACGCTAAGATCCCTCTCTTTTTACTTTTCTTACTTCATCATCATGATAGCTGAGTCCGATAAGCGGTCTCTTGTGACGCCTGCTGTGATCCTGTTTAAAACCAGAGCCATCCTCCACGAGCATATTGTGTGAGATAGACAGACAAACCAGCCGTTAAAGATACACCAAACACGTGAAAATGTGTAAATCAAAGCTCTCCCCAGAAACAACCAGGCCTTAAAAGGGGTCATATGATGCGATTTCAGTTTTTCCTTTCTCTTTGGAGTGTTACAAGCTCTTGGTGCATAAAGAAGATCTGTAAAGTTGCAAACACTAAAGTCTCAAATCCAAAGAGATATTCTTTATAAAAGTTAAGAGTCAGTCACGCCTGCCTAAAACGCCTCGTTCTAACACGCCCCCACATATCTACCTCACTATGTGGGAAGATTTGCATAACACCGCCCAAATGTTCATGCAAAGAAAGAAGGCGTAACCTTTATTCTCGCTGTAGTATTGTTGCCGCCACCGCCATGTCGTGAAGGTGCTGTGTGCTTCGTTGTGAAAGCGAAACTACTTTGTTTGGTCTTCCAAAAGAGGACGATATCTGCTTCGTCATGCCTGGAGCTGATCCATGCTGGTTGCTGAGGAAATACAACAACTTTGCGCTGTGGATCACCGGATCGGCTTTCACCGTGGACGAAGCGGAGTCCAGACCGGGGTCGTCACATGTGTTTGCTGCAAGCCCGCCAGACGCTCCTTCGTCGAATCCGCAGGCCGCGCCGTTCCAAATACACCAAATAATGTTCTTTTTAGCAACATCATATGACCCCTTTAAAAAACAGACTTTGGTTTCATAGTAGATTAATACAATAAAAAATTAAGTATCTAATCAAATAGTAAAAATATGGTATCTTGTAAGTGTGATATTACAAAAGTTTAGTTTAAAAGTCAAAACTTTATAGGCCTGGGAACATTTCACTGTATGAGCTTTAGCTGGTAGCAATTAAAGTGTTAGTCGAATTGTAATAGTTTGCAAATGTAGCTCGACAACTGGCTTATAATTGTGATTTAAACAATGAGAAATTACACTGCAAACATGGGAAATAAAGCAAGTGAGAGAAATCAAGTCAATTACAATACAGACCATGTGTTTAAAACTTTGTAAGGATGAGAACAACTGTAGTTTGCTTCAACCTCAAACTGTAGTGTTCAACCAGAAAAACCACCAGACAGCAAATGTATGTTGAAACATTTTCCAAATTACATTTTGGTTGTGGGAACATTATAATGTTCATTTTTTATACACCACCGTTCAAAGGTTTGGGGATGGAAAGATGTTTTAATGTTTTTGAAAGAAGTCACCAAGGCTACGTTGAGTCGATAAAACAAACGGCAAAACAGTAATATTATGGAAATATTATTACAATTTAAAATAACTGTTACTATTTCTACGTTTTTCTTTAGAATGTAATTTATTCATGTGATAAAGCTGAATTTTCAGCAGCCATATTAAGCCAGTTATTAAGCCATCTAGTCAGTGTCAAAATGATCCTTCAGAAATTATTCTAATATACTGATTTCCTACTCGAGAAACATTGTACTGCCTAATATTGTTGTGGAATCTTTTTCCAGGAGTCTTCGATGAATAGAAAGTTCAAAAGATTTATTTGAAATAATTTTTGATCAATTCACTGTTTAACTTTTGATTAATTTAATGCATCCTTGCTATATAAAAAGTATTAATTAAATATAAATTACATGTAGATAGTACTAAAAAATACATTTTTACATAGTAAAACATGGTAGTAGTGGCTTTTTATACAATGTACTATCCAGTATCAAAAAGTATGAGGAAATGTAGGTCACAGTATAGATACTGGTGTTTGTAATCTATTGCATTATCATCTGTGGCTCTCTGAACCTGCTCACACACTCTCACGTTTGTCAGTCTAACATTTGCCCTAGAATGTCAAACATAGTTTTACAACTGCATTCCTGTGTTCATATATATGAGATAATCATTGCGTGTGAGCTCCTTGTGTGCGCCTCCACTTTAGTTTGTAGGAAGTACGTGTTTGTCTGCATGTATGAACACTGATATGGACTGTTGTCGTTGTTGTTATCGTGAGCACAGATCATCCGCGGAGGGATCAGAATCAGAGCTGGAGACTGCGGTGGAGACGTTCAGCGCGTGAGGTAAGCTGAGGTGTCTGTCAGGGCTGGTCCAGACAGCCTGGTCAGATAACGGTGACATACAGCACTACAGTTACCAGCCGGACCCGGTCAGGTGACACCGCCACATCACAGCTGCCACAACAGCCTCAGCCCCAAAAGACTGTCACTGTCCTGAACACCGTCTGTAGTCTGGAGCAAGACAGATATGAAGACA